GTTTGTACTTACAGCACGACTACCATTTCCTCCGCCTCACAGCGATCTCCCCGAACTCGGTGGTGAGGAACTCCTGGGTCTCGTTGTCCCACATGGCCCGCTCGAAAACCTTCGCCGCCTGTTCCCAGGCAACTTGACGAGGCCCTTCGATCACAACGAACCGGGCCGGCCCCTCGATCGCGGCCGTACAGACCGCCACCACCGTCTTCGCATGGACATCCGGAGGCAGGGACGCGAAGACGACCTCATCCCGTAGCACAGCACCAGACCAAGGAGCCGAACGGCAGCAGCCCCCAACGGCCTCCACCGCATTGACGAAGTCCTTGACGACACGTCCGGATCCACACAGCTCCACTGCACAGAACTCACCCCACGTCGGGCTGATGGTGTGGGGCACTGCCCGCCGCAGCCTCCTCTCTTTCAGTTGCATAAGCACTCTTCTATCCTCTTCGCCCCAGGCAAGCAAACACGGGCCGAAGCGCTCGGAGTCGACGAGAGCCTGACGAAGGGCATTGGTCACATCGACGACGGCCCACCCTTTCTCCTCCACGATGGCCTGGAACTCCGCATCGGAGCACCTGGTCAGGAAGTCCGCGTGGATATTGTGGAACGTACGCCACCAGGTAGCCACCAATGCGAAACGGAAGCGCATCTCCAGCAGGTTCATAACCCTCACCAGCATGCGGCCCACACGGGTTCCGGCCTTTCGGCCGGTGATCCACTCCTTCACGATCTTATTGTCCCCGCCGTAGATGACGACTTTGCCCTTCCAGAACTCCCCGACCTTGCACGCAAAGGCGAGGAACGATAGCATCTCCGCGACGTGGATGGCCACCTCCTCGTCCTCGCCGCATCGCTGCACCCACTCGGCTGCCGCCTTTGCTTTCATCCGCATCACCACTCCAGTGGTCCAGTCGATGGCGGCGATCATAACCTTGGTCGCATCCGATGACACGAAAATGGTGCCGGCCTCCCACTCGCCTGGTAAGGCCAGTCGTTCCCTGATCGGGAGCAGCTCTCTCATGCTCGCGCCAAACTTTGTAGACCACGTCTCCGGCCTCGCACATAGCCACCTCGACTCCTCGAACAGCTCCCAAAGGTCGCACCATGCCTGCTCGATCTCCTCCTCGTCACCGGGCACCCACAGCTTCGGGCTAACTTTGGCGCCGCCGTCGCAGCCTCCGCACAAGAACCGATCCGCGGCCTTGAGTTCATTCTTGAGGCCCCGCACGATGACCGTCCACCCGGCGGCGATGCCCCGAAAACGTTGCACCGTCCTGACCGTCAAGTCCTTGCAACCATACTCGAAGGCCCCGTCGTTGAGCAAGTGAGCGCCTTTGAGGATCCGGCGCTCCGGTAAGTGGATCTCCTCTGTGGCCGTGTCCATGTTGAGGCCCCACACGGTCTGAAACGTCCGGAAGGGC